CCATCAAGGACACCTCCAGGAAGACCAACAACATCAAGGAGGTTTCACAACACCTCCAGGAATACCAACAACATCAAGGAGGCTTCTGACACCTCCAGGAAGACCAACACCATCAAGGAGGCTTCACAACACCTCCAGGAAGACCAACACCATCAAGGAGGCTTCACAACACCTCCAGGAAGACCAACACCATCAAGGAGGCTTACAACACCTCCAGGAAGACCACAACATCAAGGAGGTTTCACAACACCCCAGGAAGACCAACAACATCAAGGAGGCTTCACAACACCTCCAGACCAGACCACATCAAGGAGGTTTCACAACACCTCCAGGAAGACCAACAACATCAAGGAGGCTTCCAACACCTTCAGGAAGACCAACAACATCAAGGAGGCTTCACAGCACCTCCAGGAAGACCAACAACATCAAGGGAGGCTTCACAACACCTCCAGGAAGACATCAAGGGGCTTCACAACACCTCCAGGAAGGAGGCTTCACAACACCTCCAGGAAGACCAACACCATCAAGGAGGCTTCACAACACCTTCAGGAAGACCAACACCATCAAGGAGGCTTCACAACACCTCCAGGAAGACCAACAACATCAAGGAGGCTTCACAACACCTTCAGGGAGACCAACAACATCAAGGAGGCTTCACAACACCTTCAGGAAGACCAACAACATCAAGGAGGCTTCACAACACCTTCAGGAAGACCAACACCATCAAGGAGGCTTCACAACACCTCCAGGAAGACCAACAACATCAAGGAGGCTTCACAACACCTTCAGGAAGACCAACAACATCAAGGAGGCTTCACAACACCTCCAGGAAGACCAACAACATCAAGGAGGCTTCACAACACCTTCAGGAAGACCAACAACATCAAGGAGGTTTACAACACCTCCAGGAAGACCAACAACATCAAGGAGGCTTCACAACACCTTCAGGAAGACCAACACCATCAAGGAGGCTTCACAACACCTCCAGGAAGACCACCAACAACATCAAGGAGGCTTCACAAATCTTCAGGGACTAAATGAATATCAAGGAGGCTTCTACAACACTTCCAGGAAGACCAACAAATATCAAGGAGGCTTACAACACCTTCAGGGAAGACCAATAACATCAAGGAGGCTTACAACACCTCCAGGAAGACTAACAAATATCAAGGAGGTTTCTACAACACCCTGTGAATACCAACAAATATCATGGCGCTTCTGCCAACACCTCCAGGAAGACCAACACCATCAAGGAGGCTTCACAACACCCAGGAAGACCAACAACATCAAGGAGGCTTCACACCTCCAGGAAGACCAACACTATCAAGGAGGCTTCACACCTCCAGGAAGACCATCAACATCAAGGAGGTTTCACAACACTCAGGAAGACCAACAACATCAAGGAGGCTTCACAACACCTCCAGGAAGACCAACTACATCAAGGGAGGTTTCACACCTCCAGGAAGACCAACAACATCAAGCGAGGCTTCACAACACCTTCAGGAAGACCAACAACATCAAGGAGGCTTCACAACACCTCCAGGAAGACCACACAACATCAAGGAGGCTTCACAACACCTCCAGGAAGACCAACAACATCAAGGAGGCTTTACAACACCTCCAGGAAGACCAACAACATCAAGGAGGCTTCACAACACCTCCAGGAAGACCAACAACATCAAGGAGGCTTCACAACACCTCCAGGAAGACCAACAACATCAAGGAGGCTTCACAATACCTCCAGGAAGACCAACAACATCAAGGAGGTTTCATAACACCTCCAGGAAGACCAACAACATCAAGGAGGCTTCACAACACCTTCAGGAAGACCAACAACATCAAGGAGGCTTCACAACACCTTCAGGAAGACCAACAACATCAAAAAGGCTTCACAACACCTTGACGAAGCCTATTCAGGATGCTCACTATGGGTTAGGGGCGACAGAGGGAGGGAGGAGGCCACCGTTCCTTACACTTGTATTTTTCTTAACCAAACAGATCAAGACAAATCACTTGGAAAGGATGCCAGCCCCCTCTCCTTGTTCTTCTTTCTCTTTCCATCTCTTCCATTTTCTTTGGGCATTTCTCCTGCCCACCTCCCCCTCCTCTTTCCCCCACTCTCTCCCCCCTCTCCCTCCTCTGTCCCTGCACTCTCTCCCCTCCCCCCTCCCTCCCTTCCTCCTCCTTTCCCCACTCTCCTCCCTCCCCTTCCTCTCCCCTTTCCCCTCCCCTCCTCTTTCCCCTCTTCCTCCCTCTCCCCCTCTCCCCCCACTCCCCCCCACCCCTTTCCTTTCCCCACTCCCCCCTCTCCTCCTCCTCTCCCTCCTCTCCCCCCTCCCCCCTTCCCTCCCCTTCCTCCTTTCCTCCTTCCCCCCTCCTCCTCTCCTCCTTCCCTCCCCTCTCCCCACCTCCTCCTCCCCCTCTCCTCCCCACCTCCCTTTCTCTCCCCCCTCCCCACTCTCCCTCCTCTCACCCACCCTCCCTCTCCCCTCCTCCTCTCCTCCTCCCTCCCTCTCCCTCCTCTCCCTCTCTCCCTCCCCTCTCCCCTCCCTCCTCCTCCTCTCCTCCCTCCCTCCCTCCTCCCCCCTCTCTCCCCTCCTCTCCTCCCTCTCCTCTCCCACCCTCTCCCCACTCTCCCCTCACCTTCCCTTCCTTTCTCCACTCTCCTCTCTCCCCAACTTCTTTTCTTTTCCTCACCTCCCGTCCTCTCTCTTTCCTTCTTCTCCCTCTCTCCTCTCCCCTCTCCCCACTCTTCCCCTCCTTCCTCCCTCCTCTCCCCCTCTCTCCCCACTCTCACCCTCCTTCTCGCACACATTGACACCTACCGATAAAATCCCCTGAAGGTACGACTCATTACATTCACTGCTATACGTAACCTCCCACTCTCCCCCTCTCCCCCCTTCCCTCCCTCTTTCCCTCCCTTCCTCCCCTCCCTCTCTCCCTTCTTCTCTCTCTACCTCCTTTTTTCTTCCATCCATCATTTCCTCTTCCTCCTCTCTCCCTTTTCCTACCTTTTTTTCCTCCATCCCTCTTCACTTCTTCCTCCTTCTTTCTTCCCCTCCTCTTCCTTTACTCCCTTTTCCTTTCTCTTCATTTCCTCTCTCTCATCCCTCCCTTTCTCCCCTCCCTTCTCTTCCCATTTCATTTACATTCCTTGCTCTCTCCTCACTCTTTCTCTATCCCTATTTCTCTCCCCCTTTCTCTCTCTTCCTCTTTCCCTTCTTCCCTCTTTATTTCTCTCCTCCATCACTCTCCTCCTCTCTCTCCCTTCCTCCCTTTTCCCCTTCTTTATGTGAGCGAAAGGAGAGAGAGAGAGAGAGAGATAGAGAGTAAGAGAAAGTAAATTAGAGAGTAAGAGAGAGAGAGGAGGACAGGTCCCAATTGGTTACATGTCTATATACCATTATATTCACTTACTATTCTGACCCCGTTAATGAGTATGAGGACCCTGGGGGACAGGTAGACCCAGGTGAGAGGGAGGGAGAGAGGTGTGAGAGAGAGGAGGGAGGTGTGGAGAGAGAGGGAGGGAGAGGAGAGAGAGGGAGAGGGAGAGGTGGAGAGAGAGGGGGAGGAGGTGTGAGAGAGAGGGAGGGAGAGGTAGAATGAGGCCAGAGAGGGACGGAATTGCCTATAAATCTATGATAATACACTTTTTCCCTCCACTCATCAAGCACTGCTTTTTTCCCTTGGGGAGGGGAAAAGGAGGGTTAGGTGGAGGGAGGGAGGAGAAAGGAGGGTTAGGTGGGAGGGAGGGAGGAGAAAGGAGGGTTAGGTGGGAGGGAGGGGAGGGGAAAGGAGGGTTAGGTGGGAGGGAGGTAGGAAAAGGAGGGTTAGGTGGGAGGGAGGGAGGGGAAAGGAGGGTTAGGTGGGAAGGAGGGGAGGGAGTGAGGAGGGAGAGGGTTTTGGATTTTTTGTCCATCTCTTCCCTCATCCTGGAAAAAGTAATAAATAAATAAAATAAATAAATAAATAAATAAATAAATAAATAAATAATAATAATAATAATAATAATAATAATAATATAAACTAGATACACAATATAATCATCTTATAGTTACCTTGTTTCTCTTTTCATCTTACATCATAATACTAACACGTTGGATGGTGAGTCAGGTGGGGGGGTGGGGGGGGGGGCAGGTAATAGGCAGACTCACCTCTTAAATTAACCTGTACATATCTCAGTGTAGGTCAAGACTGGCGGGTTATTCCAAGAGTTCAAGAATATTACTCTTGATAACATTCGGTTCTTGTGGTGTCTAACTTCAGGCTGTGACCCATTTACCGGACCTGCTGATACACTTGTGGCTTGTATGGTACAGCAGCTCACCTCTACCAGCTGACAGTAATACCAACACTCCAGGTTCATCAGAAGAATACCTTTTGTCACACATCATTTCATTTAATCACGTTGAGGATCTTAGTTCTTACTTTGTACTTCCTCTGTGATGATAAAACCCGTATATTTCTATAACAAATATCTGCGGTAATTTCTTCCTTTTAGAGGCGAGGGTGTTGACGATAAAGCACTTGAAGAACGTTGTTGGGAAACGTTTGCTAAATTGACCTTCATAAACACGTTTTATATACCACAAACCTCGAGTGAAAATTCTCAAAGATTCGTACGATCAAACATCTCTTTTTCCTTTTTATTGGGGTAAGAGATCTGGTCTTGTTGTGGTAGGGTCTCAGCGGCTATTTTCTCGCTATTCTGGGTCGTCGTAATCGTTGTGTCGGGGCGTAAGTGAGCCATTCAGATGAGTTTCATATCTTCAGTTAAGTGGTAGATTTAACTTACGAAACTTTGAGCATCTCCTCCTCTCGTTTTTGGGCCGGTGGTTAAAGCGACCATTTGCCAGCTCCGTCTTAAACCAGCGTATCTGGTAAACACACCAATCATTTCCCTCCTGCTATGGCATACTTAGTTCTGGTTGGTTGACTCTCATACCGCTACTTGTTTATTTATTATACGCAAAGCGCGTAGTAACATGACTGGCTGGAATAGAGTTCATATTGAGCTACAAACATCCTTTACGAGTGGAGTAATATGGCAGATATTTTAGCTGGCTGCCATTATACCAGTGCCCGGCTGTCCGGTCGTGCCCGGCTGGGGACCTTAAGCGGCCTCTGGTCAGTCAGTGTCAAGTTGTCAACGTTTCAAAGGAGCCACCAAGCTTAGAGGCTGTAGACGTGAGGTGACAGGAGTTATGACCTCACATGACAAGAGTTACCGCCAGTGACACTCTTAGACGAACACAAAAATTTGAATGTTTTAAGATGTTTATTAAACTTTTCCCATAATAAAAGCCAGCCAAGCAAATTTCCTCCTAAAGTTTGTCAGGGCGAGTACAAAAAATATGGGCAAGTAAAATGCAAATGTAACTTGGACGGGACAAGGTTTTTTTTTTTTTTACGGAATTAGCCCACCTGGGCACAGGTCAATGACCCACATCAGGGCCTGGGGACGAAATATAACAAACATAATAATAATAATAAAAATTAATACAAAATTTATAAAAACATGACCGGTAGTACAGAACAAAAATGATCAAAGTTTCCCAAAATGTGTTCCAAGTTGGCTGACAATCTGGTAAAAGCCTTCAATTTGGCCTCAGAGTACACCAAAATGGCTGACTGTAATAATTAAAATGATCTTTTATGGATACCTCTCCCCTCTCCCCTCTAGCCCCTCGTCCCGCATCTGCCCGGACACTACAGATCCGGACTTACCGGACACATAGCCGAATTTGCGAGGCTTTAAGTTGGCTTTTGTCGTATTTAAGAGACTCATTGTTGTCTGGACCCTCCTGTTACCCCTACCCCCAGCTGATGTTGTTATTGTGGTGGTAGTGGTGGTGGTTGTTGCTGTGGTGGTGGTGGTGGTTGTTGCTATGGTGGTGGTGGTGGTTGTTGCTGTGATGATGGTGGTGGTGGTTGTTGCTGTGGTGGTGGTTGCTGTGGTGGTGGTGGTTGTTGCTATGGTGGTGGTGGTGGTTGTTGCTGTGATGATGGTGGTGGTGGTTGTTGCTGTGGTGGTGGTTGCT